ATGACATCCTCAGCGCTTCTTTTCCACCCCAATATTTGTTCCTCTGCAGTTACTGTGATTGCTTTGCTGCCGGGATCTATTGCGCTGAACCTTGTGCATGCCAAGATTGCTTTAACACACCTAAATATGAGGGAATGGTTATCGAGACACGGCAGAAGATCGAATCACGAGATCCCCTTGCATTTGCTCCCAGAGTTGTACAACGTGAACCTGTTCAACCTCCTAGCATTCGTGGGGTATTGTTGTCTTTTCATCAGAATCTATGATCAAGTGGCCCCATAAGCAGAATACTAACTGAAATTGTGGTTTTTGTAGGAAAATGCGACTCCCCCGTTCACACCTTCCTCCGCAAGGCATAAAAGGGGGTGCAAGTGTAAGAAGTCCATGTGTCTCAAGAAGTACTGTGAGTGCTATCAGGTATAAGATTTGTAGATGTGAGTACTGTTCATGAATTTTTACGTTTTCTTACCTTGAGTTGTCCTTTTGTTTTAACTTCAACGAGTTTCTTTGTTCCTTTTGAGCAGGCAAATGTTGGTTGTTCAGATGGATGCCGATGTGAAGGATGCCAAAATGTCTTCGGCCTAAAAGGAGGTATTTGAAATTTCGTTTTGGTTCTGCCTTAGGGCTGGTGAATTCCTTTTGTCTCTCTCTCTCTCTCTTTTTTNGTGCATGCAGGACACCTGCATAACTGACTCTGTAATTAGATTCACTGGGGGAATAACTTTATATTTGATTATCTTCGTCAAACCCTTGCGATTTTATATATATGTTTTTCTTTACCTACGAACATTCGCTTGCACCTTAATCTAGGCAACAATCTATGTTATTCCAGAATATCGTCCGGTTCAGGATGTTGTGTTGTGCGAAGAAGATACTAAAGAAATAGCAGACGGGTTGATTCTTGAGAAACGTAAAATAACAGCATCTGCTAGAATTGCTGTAAACCATACTGAGGTTTTCAATGCACACCATTCGACTCCCTCGACACCAGCATTCCAGTTCTCAAAGTAGGTCAAGTTCTTAATAATGTCCTTTTGATTATAATTTGTACATACAATGAAATTTCTGTATTTTACTTAATTTAATGTTCTTTCAAACTTTTTTAACCATTTCTCTTTCAATAATCATGCAGCCCTTCTGGAGAGTACTCCCAATCACCTGAAACTGATTTCACATGCATGGCAGCACCATACATAATTACTCCAGGGTCCCCTGTGAAGAACTCAAACGATATTAATAATAACATGATAACTGAAAAAACCCAGCAAAAAATTATTGATCCTTCTTCTTTCGAACACGACTCACAACCGAATGTTCAAAAGTGTGCAGATGATCCATTAATTGTTCGGGAGGTTGAGTTTGGCGGTGAGTTATCTAGTAGTGTCCTGGATGATACACCTGAAATGTTAAAAGACAGCCCTACCCCTGTTAATGGCGTTAAAGTTTGCTCACCGAACAAAAAACGTGTTTCTCCTCCTCATCGGAGGCCGAATGAATTTGGCTCGAGCTCGTCAGTTGGTATTCGTACTGGGCGTAAATTCATCTTGAAGGCTATCTCTGCATTTCCTCCTCTTACCCTATGCGTTGATTCCAGAAGTGACAAGTCAAATGAGCCTCAAGATTGTCATGTTAGTAAATGATGCCAACATTTTTCAAAAGGTATTATCCTGATTATACTTGTACTTTTGGTCTTGCATCAGATCATAGCAAAAAACGAATTGTCTTAAAGAAAATAGACAAAGACTTCTAAAAGTATTAGAAACACGAAAAAAACCCGGTTGAGTTTTGTAATAATATTTCAAGGTGTGTTGAAATCTAACTCTTGCTCTGAAGTGTTAGGATTTTATCTTTTACTGAAAAGTGTTTTAAATCTTTGCATGTTCTTTCATCAGATACGCTCTTTCTCCTTGGAAAAAAAATCAAGAACTGTCGGGCTAATCGTGCTGTGCTTATAGAAGTCTTGCCAGTTACATAAATGAGGCGTAACGGTGTACAAAAATGGAAATGAAATTGACTATTTGGGAAAATTTTATTGAGTAATTGAAAAGATGTCTGGACATTATCATGTTTAAGGTTTTGAAGATACCTAAACATCAGCAATGGTGTGAAATCAAAATCTCTGATTAAGCTATCTTCGTATTCATTGGTGCGAAGTGTGGAGGTGGTATCGACTCTTGAAAAACGGAGTGTAAGAGAAAAATGCGGCTTTTTTTTTTTTTTGTTCTTTATTCTTTCTTTTTATTTTTTTCAATTTTGTATTGCAGTAATGCAAATTCTGGAGTTTATGTAGGTTAAGGCTTCTTTTTATGATATACTTTGATTCTCCGGCTTCTCTTGTTGAAACAATGAGTATTATGAGATCATGGAATATAAGGGATTGTTGAAACTTGTATGGTTTATTAGGATTTGTGTTGCTATTATTATTATTTTTACAACAACAACAACAAAGTCAATGATGCAAAAGAATTGAAAATATTTATGAACCTCTTTACTAATTATTGTTTGGTAATCGAGTTTAGTGGAAAGTTTGAATGTAAATTTCATTCATTGAATTTTTCACCGTTAATCAAGATTCACCTATATAAATATGTTAGTGTGTTAATCAATCAGCCAGTGGCAAAATCGAATGCTCCTTTTAGGACCCATAAATATGAGATCATGATGACGTCATGGTTACTATTATATTACAAATACAGTATATACACGTGTTACTTGCATGGTGAATTGAATGTAACATCACATGAAAAAGTTGACTATAATGTATGTGATGTCAAAGGGATTACGTGTCGTTTTCTTGACTCTCAAGCAATGTAATCTCAATCAGGTGTGAAGTCAAACCTACTTCCAAGGCATGATGATATATAAATCGGGTTTGACTGTTCAACCAGAAAGCGTGCTTTTACGTTTTCCCTTTTCCATACAAAATAGCGTCAGTGAAACAACGATTTTCAAAGGAAAAATTGATGAAATGGTCAAGTGGCTTTCCTAGTTGCTTACGTATTATCAGTTTATATCACTATTAGGATTTTAAGGTATAAAAAGTTAGAAAATAAAAAGTTGCGTATTTATTTACAAATTTTCAACTGTTCAATTTTATTTGCAGTTTCATATAATGATATTTTATACAACTCCACCAAAGTGGAAACGTAAATGTAAAAGTGTACTAGGTTATGAACTCCAAAATTACTACAAAAGTCTAAATTTGTCTAAATTATTGATATTCATGCCAAAATACCTTAAAACAACACTATCATTGTGTAATGTCTATATTTTTTGGGACCAATTTGACTTAAACTAGTTGAAGTTGATAGGTCAGCATGTGGCACCAATGGGCAAACCGATTTGAAGTGATCTACGGCCATAGTTTCTTGAAATTTTTTTCATGTGCAGCTGAGATTTAATCTCTTGATCATGCTTTTGCAAGCCGAATTTCTGTTCTGTCCATGATCCATGGAATATGTATGTGAATCCAAGTCTAATATGCCGAATTTTGTTACACTTTTGCACGGTCTAATATTTACAAAGTACCAAAAAATGTATTTATTATATTACAATCGCGTGCTTTCATATTATGACAGCTTTTAATAATTTTAAAATATAATTTAGATATCATCAGTGACGGATTTAGAAATTTCACTTAGGGGAGCCCGATTTTAAATGTTAAATAACGAGCTTGTAGTTTTCATATAAAAATGTATTTAGTATAAATAAAAATATTAATATGTGTACCATCAAGGTTTTTTAAACTTTTTACAAAAATTAACAAAAAAAATGTATTTATAATTTAAGTTCAACATCTATAACTTATGGAAAAATAAGTTCAACATCTACAACATTCCATAGCATTTTTTTATCAAAGTTTATCAAATGAATATTTTTTGAAGAAAAAAGAAATAAAGTTAAAAATATGTGATTACAGTCAAAATCAATATTAAAAAATGTAACAATCCAACTAATAAATATTTAATTTTATAAAGCACTAAATCTATTTACAATTAAGAGACCGAAATAGTAAATCTATAAAAATTATCAAAAGCTTATCTAAAAATTTAAAATATAAAGATTGTTGGTATATTTTTTAATAAATAAATAATATTATTAATTTAAATAAAAATAGCATAGGAAATAAGTTTTAATTAGTAATATATTGTAAATATTATTTAAATTTCTATACATATTTTATAGTATTATTTTATATATTTATTGATTTTTAATAAGTTTTAATTATTAATATATTGTAAATATTTTTATATTTATACATATTTATAATATATATATTGATTTTCTTAAAATAAATGATGGGGTGCCCACGGCCCCCGGGCCCCATGTGGCTCCGTCATTGGATATCATTTGGATATTTTATCCATCGAAATTGTTAATTAAAAGTCCTAAATCAAAAATCACTTAAGTTTTTAAATTTTTTAAATATACATATTTTAAGGTGGTAATAGAAACAATAAGGTGTTACAAGGTGACCCCGATAGTCTTAATACCAAATTATAAAATCAGAAATTTCCTGTAAGTGAATTGAGAAATTAATTTCAAGTATTTTGTTTTTTTTCCTAAATAAAATTATCGAAGACAAAATTGATGAGTAAAAAACAACCTCTGTAATCTTCTTAGGGGGCTTCTGCGAAATTAGCAAATGACTAATTACATTAACAATATTTCAAATTTTAGGGAGATGATACTATTTTTGCAATCTAGAAATGTGTAAGTAACTTTTTTGATTACTCCTAATTAAAATCTCTATAATATGCACTAATCATTGTCAAAAGTAACAAAATTGATTNCAAATAGAAGATGTTTAAAGGAGAAAGTAAGAAAAATACTACACTAAGGTTACCGGTTAATCACTTCATCTTGTTTTAGGTCAATTTTTTCATACTTTTATATAAAATGTCGTATTTTAAGAAATGTTAACCCTCATATGAATTTTGTGTACCCAAAAAATACAACACTTAACTAATATCATCAAATTTTATTTGTTGATTTACAATTATTATAACTCCGGTCTTTGACGGTGGGAAAAAATGGAGAAAATGTGAAAAATGCTATCTTAAAATTTTTGTTTCTAGTGTTTGATAGAAATTGGAGGCACAGACACGGTTGAACTTCAATGTACGTAGAACCGAATAGTTAGGCCACAGTCGTACATGTGATGCACCCTGGTGCCGCCACGTGTCCTTCTTTCATGAACAACTTCATCTTAGCTAAGCATGATGTCACGCTGTTCTGTTTTGGCCGGTGAACTGTGAAGAAGATCGTTAAAAAAAAATGTCTCCTTTGAAATATATACTAATGATTATCTTCCACTTTTTTTAATAGTGTAAGTGAGATTATAGGGAAAAAAGTGAGATGAAATGAATAATATTTTTGTTACAATATTTTATTTCATTTTTTGTTTTAATGAAATATATTTTGATCAACCAAAAAAAGTTGGTAGCTAGTAATAAAATTTATGTTATGCAAAATGTCTATCAACCTTTGAATTCTGATGGAAAAATTGTTTAAATATGCCCAATTAAGAGATCTTTTTTTTACTATTATGTTACAAATGAGTCTAATAAACAGTAGATTCAATAATATAGTGTACCTCACTAGTACGAAATTTCCGTAATTAATAAACATTGTAGTAAAATTGATTTTGAGTTTGGACTGATAAGTCCAATCAGTTTGACAGATACTGTGAACAATTGAGAAATTTTGTGAACCAAAAGTAGACAATTTTGAGTAAGAAACTATTGAATCCAAAAAGTGCAAAATTAATTAACCATATATGGAATCTAATGCAAGTTTAGCATGACACTAAACAAGGGCCAAATTATGTCAGCCATGACATCTACATAGGTTGGTAGAAATAATCACATTCATTATTCATTTTTATCTCAATACATAGGTAATATACAAACTTAATTAACATTGTACTTAATTATTTTCTTTTCTTGTCTGGAATAGTTTTTTCTTTTGACTATATAATATGAATTTGGCATTTCTTGACATNTGATTAAATTAATATTAGACTAGTGAATTATACTAAATAATGGATAAATTTTAACATGCATTTTTTTATATTTTCTGATGTGATTATTATCCTTGATCATTTTGATCATTCTAGGATAGAAATATGTATAGTCAAGTATGCCATTGTCTTTATTTAAATTAAAAAGAAGAAAAAAAATATTTTATCAGAGTGATATATTTGATATGCCTGATAACTTTTGGATTGAAATATACATAATCAAATATGCCCCGATACCTTTATTAATCTTCCTGCCAAAAAGCATGAAAGAAGGAATAAAGATAACAAAACAAATGAAATCTATTATTTGGCAGGCAGAAGAGCGTAATCAAGGACTACATAAAATAACTCATTTACTGAAAAATATATTATTATAAACATGACATTCATTTAATATATAAAATTACATAGCAACACTTGAGCAAATAGTACAAATTCATACCCCTAATACAAAATATTCTCAAAATCTATAGTACATATATATGATCTTATTCCTCAATAATCTCTATCAGCATCTCTATATATCCTATCTTGGGAATTAAATATATTTGTAAATCACTCTCCAATGTTGGTCCAAAAAAACTACTAAAAAAGTCTATATCCACCCAATTTTTCTTTGAGAACACATGATCCATATGCTTGATGAAATTCAAAAACTCCAAAGTGAATACGTGGAATTTTGGTGCCCAATGTCCTCCTCTCCATAATCCTCATCATTCATAGGCCCATAACCTTGTTGCATGAACACATCATCGGGCCCGGGAAAAAGCCCGTAATCCAAAATGCAGCCCGTATTACTATCCTCGCTATAATTCCCATTCAACGTGTCCAAAAACGACCAATCGTTGTTGACCAAGTCAACGGGCCCGGCCCGAAACCCGTTTGCGTGCCGCTGGGCTGCCGCTTGGATTTCAACCGGGCCAAGGCCCTCTCGGCCCGGAATGTCTGGCGGGTCGTTCGGGAAGTTGAAATTGGATTCGGGCCCTCGGAGGCAGAACTGGGCCGCGTCGAAGGCCCGAGCCGCTTTCTCGGGAGTGTCGTATGAACCGAGCCATATTCGGTCTCGGCTATTGGGAAGCCGAATTTCGGACACGTAGCTTCCCCACTTCCTCTTGCGGACGCCTTTGTACTTGATAGCGGGCCCATGATTGTCTGTGTTAATCGGGCCGGGCCGGGCTCTTGTAAGATCCATTTTCTTTTTTTTCTTTTTTCTTCCCACTCTTTTTATTCTTTTTTGAAAATTGTAAGAGGAGAATGCAAATGCTAACTTTGAATTCATATGGGTTCTTAATTTAACTATTTATACGTTGAGGTTTGAACTTTGAAGCATAAGCGCGTTGAAGTAAAAGGGGAAAGTGTACAAATGGTTGTACGGATGGTCGGGGGGATTTTTGTTTTTTATTTTACCTTTTTTTTGGGGNTCGGGGGAATGAAGAAATTGGGATTTTATCAAATTGGGTAAGGAATTATAGTAATATAGAAGACGTGTCAGACTGCCTTACGCATGCATGTGGGGAGTTTTCATATTATATATAAAAAAATTAAAATAAAAAATCAGCTCATGTATTTCTTATTTATTGTATTAATAGGATATAATTTTATGAAATAAATATTGTTATATCTGCACATTCTAACTAACATTGATGGCGTTACAATGCATAGTACATTTAACTATATTTTAACTAAATGATTAACCCATATTGAACTAACTAACTTTTATGTATTAGCTATTACTAGAACCACAAGGTGAAATGAAATAACAAATGTGGAAAAGGAGAGTTATATATATATATATATATATATATATATATTATATATATATATATATATATATATGTTATTCGAACTAAGTTGAGTTATTAGCGAATAGATCGAGTTTGGGTCATTTTTATGGTTCAACGTGTTGAGTCTAGAACGTTTTTGAACAAATTTAGAATTTTAGAGTATTAGATTTATTAAATGAAATGAACCAACTCGTTTATCAAATGAACATAAGCTTGAAGGAGAGATACGCGGGTGAACTCAAATAACAATCATTTGAGATTTTAGAGTATCAGATTTATTAAATTAGATGAACGGGCATGTTTATTAAATGAACACAAGTTAAAAAAAAGGGTAAAGTGGTGTCTCTAGAAGATATTTGCCTTAATAAACACTAGTACACTATTAAGTAAAATTCTATTTGTTGGTTCATATTAGGTAGGTAAAAAATTGTGATTAGAAGTAAGAAAGATTTCTTTATATGCTTTATTGTTGGCACTTTAATAATAATAATAAGAATAACAAGAAATTTGCATACCTCATTTTTATTAGTGGATCCACCAATACTCCATGTGCATAAGTATAATGCTTACCTTAGTACACTTCAACTTCACAAATACGGTGCAAAAACAATACACTTTATACATTTCTTATATGTTATTTTTGGGCACAAAAATTGTATTGGGCCTGATTTTTGAACTGGCATTCTAATTGAACATCGACCTTTCTGTTCACTCGCGTGGGCCGGAGCCCACTTTTGACTGGTCTGAGCCCAGAAAATTGTTAATCTTTTCTGTATTTTCCATCATAAAATCACAAACTTTTTTAACCAAAAAATAAAATAAAAAATTAAAAGTCACAAACTTTGAAATAGTATATATATATACATATATATGTGTGTGGCTAAATTCATTAAAGACTTTAATTCAGGTGCTTGGAGTGTCATCGTAATTATCTTATGTTGAGCCATGTGGGACAGCCTCACATGGAGCTGTCCCATTGACTGTTGGCTCCTTAGCATTATTGAGAGAGTTAGGGTGTGTTATTTATAAATAAACTCAATCCATACTCAAAATATAACTCAATTTTAGTTTCCCACTATCATCAATATTATCAATATAATTAAATAATATTAATCAATAATTTTTACACATTACATCAATTTTAATTCACTATTCATTTGCTCACATAATTTTAACTAATAATCACTTTACATAATCTCTCTCATGCCTTTATATCAAATCAACGCTAAATATTATCTATATATATATATATATATATATATATATATATAAAGAGGAGCAACAAAACATTTAATTTTTTTGTCACGCATTAAATTTGATTCTCCCTCTAAAATTTTCAGCATTCAATTTCATTTTTAGGTTACAAAATAACTTGTTTGAATGCCATAAATTATGAGCATAAACCAATCAATGGAGTTACAAAACTGTACTCAAATTTTAAGTCACCCACTCATGAAAATGACCAGGTGTATTAGCATAAAGAAAATTGTTGTAACGGCTCTTCCATAGCAATTACTTGATCAAAATCAATCTTGAGAATTATTTTCTTAATTCATATTTTTTTTTTCATGAATAAAATTATGAAGTTCTAGGATTCTTCTTCTTCGTAGGTCATTTGTGGCATGCGGGAAGGGGGCTTTTGTTCTTCTTGGCATCTGTTATTTTGGCACAAATCTTTATTTCTTTTTCTGTTTTTTTATTAATCTTATCAATTTTTCTTAATAGATGGTTGGCTACAAAAGGATTTTTTTTAATATTGTTATCTTTTTGAAGTACTTTTCTCTATGCAAATGCACAGATTAGATTACTAGTTTCAATATAAACTCAAAATCACTAACAACTAATTATACAAAAATTTTCAAAAATTAACTTTAGTTAACAAATATATCACAAATGAAGTATTATGCAGTTATTTGGTCATTGGCGGATTGGTACTAAATAAGAGAGTTTCTAATATGACACGAATTGGTACTTATGTGGTATATGATTTAATGTAGATAAATAGAGTTCATTATCACTCCATACATCTTAAGTGCACAAGATNATTAGCTTTGTGAATTCAAAATGCTAATTAAAAAAAAAAAACACTCAAGGGAATAACTTCTTGGATTGAGAGGAATAAAACAACACGACTTTGTAACATATATAAGTTTAAACTATTATCAAATAATCATTTACAACGAACTACTAATAGAATTAACTAATCAAATCAGCTAATATAATAATCAACAATCACTTAAAAAATAAACAAAGCCTATAAAATAAACATAAATTCTTGTATGAGACGACTAACTATGCAAGTCAGCTCATCTTATTTTTTAAATAAAAATAAATAATTATACTACCAAATGTTGTACTTTTGTTTATATAATTATATTTTTAGCATAACATTTTCCTAATGTAGTTATCATATATTTCGATTTTAGCACAACATTTTCTAATGTAATTATCAATTTATCATATTTATCCAAATAGTATGTCAACTTCATCATTCGGTGACCATACCCTAACCTAACATTATAACTACACAAGACTGATTGTACAACAAATGAATCCTCAACACATCCAATAACATAAAAATGGCACCGATTTAACAAAAAATGCTCGTAATTGCAAAAAAAAAAAAAAATTGCGTGAATTATCATGCATTTGGCATGTTTCATTGAAATGCAAAACTATGATAGAAATAATAGAAATTTGAACCTAAAATTATATAGAGAGCTATATATGGCAAGAAAACCATATATTTGATCATTAGAAAAAAAAAAGATGATCATTTATTCTTCATCAGTCTAACCAGTCCCCGTCCATTCCTTCAATTTCCTCGATGTCCATGCTGCAAATTTTTAGTTGAACATAAATAAATAAAAGGCAAAGAAAAAAGATAAAATAACAATTTTTTCCCAAATAAAAATAAAAACTAAATATTTAGAAATATTCATCACACAAAACTGTCTAACAGTTATACTCTTCCAATAAAAATACAAACTTTTATATTTAAAAAAGCCACACCTTAAAACACAATATGCAAAAAAAAAATAATGACGATCACCAATTTAATTATATAATTTTTCAAGAATATATGTCTAGCAATGTACACATGTATCAATCATAATATTACTACAAATTTTCATAGAGCTAGCCTGAATTAGTGGTCAACTCTTCATAATTTCTTGATAAATATACATATTTATCTTATAAGATGTCATACATTTTCATTTATGTTATTTTTTAAATTATAACATTTTAATTTATAAATATGAAAAATATGCATATTTATTGAGATATTACAATTGTCTATTCCTACGAGCGAATTGTCCATCCTTTATAAAGTAAAATTAATAATTGATAGCTTACATTAATTTATATATCAATATAACAAAAACATTATCTTTTCATATTTAGATTTTAGAGTACCTTTCACTAACGTAATTATATATTAACATTAAATACGTCAGAAAACAGAATTTGTTACCACGGCAAATCGGCATCTCCAGAGCCCGCGCCGGTGCCGGAGCCGCCAAAATCACTGTAATCCGGCAAACACCTATCGCAATCCGCACTCAGCCACGCCGGAAACTCCACAACTGCTTCATCAAATGGCGAGCTCGAAAAATCCCGGTCGGGCCCTCTGTTTTCCAAATCGGTCAGCCTATCCTCAATCGGCATCATCTCCTCCACCTCCGCCGCCGGCGGATCCGGACAAGCGTTGGAAATAGACGGCGGCGACGCCGAATACGAAACCGACGAGCTCCCGGCGCCGGAGCGAATCTCCAGATCTCCGAAATCCTGAAGATTGAGATTGAGGCCCAGGGCCTGGGCCGGAAGAGCAAAATCGTCATTTCCACTGAAAAACCACGGCGGCCCGAGTTGAGAAACGGGCCACGGCTGATAAGGGGAATAAAAACCCGAATAGGAAGGGAAATTGGCAGCAGAGTAATTAACGGCGCCGTTAATTCCACCAACGCCGTTAAAATCCGTCGCGTTATGCCCGGATTCAAGCTTGGCTTCCTTGCTAGTATCCGGTTCGGGCCCAGATTGACCCTTTTCACGGGCCCTGTGGATTTTGAGGGCCGTGACGACCTCTCTCCGGGCCTTGGCCAGGTCAATGGGCCCGACCGGGTTCAGTTTCCGGGTCTGGACCCTTCTCCTCGCCCGTTTCGTGTCTGGAGACTGATTGTCTTCCGGGCTTTGGCAGCTCGGGCCTGGATTTTCCCGGGCCATGGAAATTCGACCCGAATTTGGAGGCGGTGGTGGGTTTCGGGCCTTCGAACTGGATAATTGCTTGACGAGGGTCCGAATGTAGGCGCCCGGTAGATTTGGGCTTCCCATGGTTTGAAGACGGCCCGTTTGGAGCTCGCCATTTTTGGGCTTTAATGGTGAGCTTCTTTCTCCCCTCATTTTTTTGCACTTACAAAAAAGAAGAAATAAAAAAGAAATTCTTAGCTGCCAAAGTGCAGAAATTATGAAGGGAGCAGATGTGGGTTACAATGAAGGAGACAGATATGTATATATAATAAATCTATTTTACTTCATTTATTTAATTTGTGGATTTAATGATATTTGCTATATTTGGAAAGTTAACTAGGTTTGGTGATGTCAATTTTATTGCCAAAAAAGGATGAGTAAATGGGGTCAAGTTGGATGAGGTTGCACAGTTGAACTTTATTTAACCCTTAGCGTAGATTCTTGACCACTACAATAAGATATGGTGGAGGTTCTAATATTTATTTATACTTTAATTTGTTGGCAATCAATTAATTTGCAATTGGATAACTACCAGGATCAAAAACTTTAACCCTGAGTTATTAAAGATTCTCGAATTAATAAAAAAAATTAGTTGCTCATTTTTATATCCACGTTCCACGTACACCCAACATTATCAATCCAATTATCCAAACCAACTCAACATATCTAAGCTCCAAACTTATAGTATAAAATTGCAGCAATTGTTTGGATCTTACTTCGCAATCAGGGCTAAACCCAAACACGTGGAAAATCAAAGTTTATTTTAAATCTAGAAGAATTAGTTGCATAGAATTCAGCAAGCTATATTTAATTTGGTTGAAACCTTTTATTTGATAAAAATAAAGGACTATAAGCTTCATACATAAAACGTGCTTATGTATATAATAGTGTGTGCCAATTTAAGTATGCTAAATTTCCTTTTCCTCTATTTTATTTCACCTTGGTGTTTATTTAGGTATTAGTAGTGTTTGTAATCAAATAGAATGAGTCGAATTTGGGCATTTTGAGCTCATTTTTTATTATCTTCTTGTGGTAGTTTGTTTAATTTTCGAGGAATATAACGCGTGTTCACAGTTCAAATTCATTTGTTTCATTGTTCGTCAAAATGTGTATACGTTTGTGTTTGAATAATTCAGTAAACAACTTTTTGAAATTACTTAATTAATACTCTCTCCATTTTGAAATATAAGACATTTAAGGTTATTGCACAAATATTAAGGAGACATTAATTAATGAATAAATTGACTAAATTAACCTTATTTACTCTAATCACAACCACTCCACACTTCCTTAATTTCAACACAATGAGGGTATATTTGGAAAAAAATGCAAAAATTTGTCTTGATTTTTGAGCGCGCCTTATATTTCAAAAAAAATGAGAAATCTTTATACGCCTTATATTTCAAAATGGAGGGAGTACTAGAGATGATCAATTCACTTAAGTTTTGAGTTCGAACAAAAAAAATTATACTTTTTTTAATTAAAACACGAGCTAATTTTTTGTTGGAGATCGACTCAATTCATAAAAGAACGGCTAGAATCGATTTTTATTTGCTAACTTTCAATTCGTTTACAACTCTATAACTAATGCATAGATGCTAATATATATATGAATTCATGAATACTAGTATTCGACCTTGTGTATTTGCACAGATGTAGATAAAATTAAATATTATAAGTTAATTGTAAGCATATAATATTAAAATTATAAGTTAAATGATAGAATTATATTTCAAACATATAGTATTATAAGTTATATTTATGCATATAATATTAAAATATAAATTAGATAATAGTATTAAATTTTAAAATTTGATCATTGGTTAAAATAAATAGTACATACGATTTGATTGCATACGAATCACTATATTAATTGCATACATAGTAAAAACTTATATTTTTTGTAATTTGAATGATCATGACCAATTAATTAGCTGAAAAAATTAAATTTATTATAACAATTACTTATATGAGTTTAAGAAATTTTATTGTGACATAAAAAAAAATAATTTATTTAAAAAACAATCGCTTAATAATATTAAAAAATATAAAATTGATTTCAGTGTAAAATAATTTTATGTAACTTTCATATATCATTTAGTGTAAAATATAATTACTAATTTTAATATTAACTATTATATGATTCCGTAAAACTATTATATGATTCACTAAGAAATATAATTATTACTCAATTAACATAAAATATAATAGTTTAATTAACCACAAAAAGTGTAATGAAATATTTTATTATTAATGATATAGAGTGTATTAATGCCATAAGTAGAATTTATTAGGTTTTATTTAATGATTTGCCACATAAATAAAATTTATTAAGTTTTATTTATTACGTAAAATTTATTGCTAAGCTACCAATTATATATATAGATAACCAACACCTCATTACTATTTCAGTGAAGTGCAGAAATATTATAATTGGCACAGAAAAAAAAAAACAGTAGAATAAAATATTCCAATAACAACTCAATATATATCATTCAAATTAAAATTATGAGATCATCACATCGTGTCTGCATGTATTCAAATGTCAGTAAATAATATGGAACCTTTTCAATTAGTGGAACATAAAATATTAATAATAATAATGATAGTCTGACTTTAGTCTGACTTATGTAGGGCCACTGTTGATGTATTTCATTCATATAAATGGGCGGTGCAAAATGTCTGCATCTGTTAAAGGTTGGGGAAAGCAAGTTGTCAAATGTTTTTTAAATAAAAAAAAAAATATATGCTTCATATAAGCAGTGAATAATAAAACACTCTTTAATGCTAGACTAGATGAAAATTTTGGAGTAGTAGTTCTCTTCATAAATTTTGACTAAAAATATGGTTACTGATTAATAATCTAGAATGCTAGACTATATTATAAATTATAACACATAGCGATCAATGAATAAATAGTAATCCATGTTCGATGAATTATAAATTATAACAGAAATATTATAACACAAATTCGAGATTACCTAACCATTAAATAATAGACATTTTTTTTTCAAAAGATGTGTAGTATAATAGTAGACAATTTTTTTCAAAAGATGCATATTTATACTACGTAAAGACATACTTTTATTTAAGTTGTTTTTTTAATATAGGA